CAGTGTTTTACTCGAACATCACCGCCGCCCCCACCGCCGCTGCCTTGCCGCTGCTAGGCCCTAGTAGCAGCCCCCGAGCAGCCCCTAGGCCAGGCTGAACCCTCCCCCGACCCCCTCTACTCCCAACCAACCCCCACGACGACCTGCAACCCCATTAAAAACTCGAGGGGCGCAGGAAATAAAAAAGAGAAGGGAGCCTCTCACCGCGAGACGAAAATTGTAGCAGCAGTGTGCTCGCGTCGTTTAGGAAGAAGGATACGCGCTTGCATACCACCACCACCACCGGGCTGCTTGCATTTTATCTACCGGGGGGTAGAAAGGGAAAAAAACGTAAGAAAGAAAACTACAGAACAGGCGAGAAGGAAGGGAGGAGTGTGGCATAGAAAGCTGTGTGCTGCTGCAAGAGGCGCAGGCAGAGCAATCTTTTCTGAGCGCGGCGCCGTGGGGGTGGGCGGGGGTGTAGGGTAGGGGCGCTCTCTAGCTGCCGTGTTCCTGCCCAGCCTGCTTAGGGGAGGAGGCCCGGAGGCCCAGCCGGTCCCCCAGCAGCACCAGCAATCGTCATCCCTTCGTTACAAGTTCTCCCCCACCGCCTCGGCGCCGCCGGCCCCGGCACTCCCCTCCCACCCCTGGCAGCAGCAGCAGCAGCGCCAGCGACAGAAAACGAGGCTAAGCTCCTGGAAAAAGGAAATGGGACCAGCAGCAGCGCGGTGGTGGCGGTGGAGCGCGCGGAGCACCGTAGCGCACCGCAGCGCAGAGCCGAGCGGGCCGCGGACGGACGGGCAGGTGGGCGCCGGAAATGAGACACAAAAAGAGAAATAAAATACAGATTCATCGAGTCTGAAAAGCCCCCGCAAGAGTGAATCATACCGGGATTGGGCCTGATCTCGACGCGCGGGCGCGCGCACACACACACACGCACGCGCACTCGTGACAAAAGCCTTGCCGGCGTCGGTGAAGCAGATTCCAGCAGACAGCTGATGCGGAAGGGCGGGGCCCATCCAATCCGTGCCGGATATGGCAGCGAAGAGGCAGGAGGGCCCCCCTGCTCGCCGTTTGCCTCCCGAGGCACGCGCGAGGCGGGGGCGGCGCGGGCCGGCGCGGGGGCGGGCCGGGCTCTTCCTCCTGCTGCTACACCTGCGGCGGTTCCCTCCTCCACCCCCTCCCTCCTCCCTCCGCCTGAAATCTCGGTTCACCATAACGTCCTTGATTTACCACGTAGCGCCACACGGACCCCGGCCTGGCCTGACCGGAAGGGCGTACAGGGCTTACCCTCCACCCCCCACCCTCCCCGGGACCCAGGCAGCACAGCGCCGCCCCTATTTCTCTTTCATACAGCACACACTATCTGTTTCTCCAGACCGAACTGGTTCCGGCAGGGCGGCCCCGGCGCTCCCTCACCCCCCTGGCCTCCGCAAACTCCTGCTAACCCCCTATCCCCCTGCCTCTCCTCCCTTCACTTCATCTTATGTGCCGCCATTTTGCTGGAGCCCATCTCTATATGACCCTCCCCCCCATCCTCCACACCCTGCCTGCTCCATCCCACGCCACCGCCACCTCCGCCGCTCTACCGTCGTTTCGCCCCGCTCGCTCTCTAGCTCTCACTCTCTCTCTCTCTCTCTGTGTTTTGTGCCTTTTTTTCTCTCTCTCTCTCTCCCTTCTCCCCCGCCCGCCAGAGCCCCGTGCCGCCAGCCAGGCTCCTCCTTCCGAAACCATCTGTCACCTCCTTTGCTCCTTCCAAGCCTTCTGGAAGCACCCCTAGGCAAGTTCTGCCAACCCTTCCCTTCATTTCGCCCGCTCCCTGCAGCCCATAACCCCCCACCCCGTCCGCCCTTTGTTCATACCCTTCTGTTCCCCCCCCCCCTTCCCTCCCCCTTTCCCGGTTGTTACGCCCCGCGACCGTGTTTTGTCCTAGACGCCCCTTTTGTTCGCCCACCCGGAGATCCTTATACTCTCCGCTCTCGCTGCGGTTTTTCCTCCTCGGAATCATTATCGCTGGGATCCGGCCGCGCCTGAAGCGGCAAATCAGGCTAATGTAATCTGCCGATACACCGCCGTCGGTGGCTATAGAAAGGGGCCGACCTTGCTCTCTCCTTCTTTTCAAACATTTTGCCCATACTAAACGTCAGCACAGCTCCCCTAAATTAAATTAAACATTTTATTTTCAGTTTTAATTATAGTTAACACATTTTACTCACGTTATTTTCCCCCTTCTCTGCCCGCAGGAGGACGACGGTCGCAGCGTCCCGGTGTACAAGCGCGTGGCCGTGGTCGAGAACTTCTTCGACATCATCTACTCCGTGCACGTCGACATCGAGGGTCGCGGCAGCAAGCACGCCGGCCAGAAGAGGACCTACCGCACGGTGAGTTGTTTGCACATGATTTTTCGATTGATTGAAAAACTAACTGTCTAGCATAGGTTATTTCACACACTAAATGGAGACATATTTGGACGTGATCCCTCTATTCATGACTATGGCGTGGTTTGCGTCCACCCCCAGAACATGCAAACTTATCATTTTTCTTGTTGTTGTGTATCAAACAGCTGGCGTAAAAATAAATTATGAATACCTAGATTTGAAATTCAATTTCAATCAAACTGCTCATAACTTTTTTACGCTATCTGCTTACGAGATGTCGACACACAAAAAAATCCACCCCAAATTGTTAAGTTTGCTTGCCCTCTGTCCGCGTCCCTTTGCCACGCCAGGCGGCCGCAGCCTAACTCTCTCGCGCGCCTCGGTCTGTTCAGCAACAAGTGGGGACAATACGTGCCTCGGCGCGCACACAAAGGCACGCCCCGACGACGTGCAGCGGCGCCTCGCCACGCCCCGCCACGCCCCGCCCCGCCCGCCCCGCTAGTAGTCACGCAATCACCGGAGCGCGCCCGTCGAGCGGCGCGTAGGCAGCCCGGTGCGCGCGGGCGCGGGCGCGCTGCCGGCCGGCCGAGGCAGGCGTCAGGCCGGCGAGCAGCTGTGCGAGCTGTGCCGCCCGCCCGCCTGGCATGGCCTGCCTGAGCTTTAGCTGCTATAGCCCATACCACGACAACAACAAACGCAGTGCCCTGGTGCTCGGAGCAATTTTTCCTTGAATCGTTTTCGACTAAGCCGCCGGTTCCATCACTGGGGCCGGAAATACGGCGGAGGAACCGGCGGCGGCGGCAGTCAGGCACCGGATTGGAGAGGGTGGGGCGGCGGCGCTGCCAGCCGTCGCCTCGGCAACCGTTCATCTCGAACCGTTCCGGTGCCCTTTTTCGTCGGCCCCGCCCTGGCAGAAAGCAACGGCAGTGGCGACAGCCAGGCGATTCTAAAGGGCGTACTTACTGTACACGGGTACTGTAAGTTGCTAAGGGGCGGTTCGGACCGGTGGCGTGGGGCCGCGGGTGGACGGTGTCCGGCCCCAGGGCGTGGCGAGAGAAAGACAGCATGCACGACGGAGCGGGCGATAAAGAGCGGAGCCGAGCGAACCTGTTGCCAGTCGACTTGCTTTACTCACTCGGGCGTTGTCGAGGCCGGGTGGGGCTTCGCTTCCTGTTGGGTTCGGAAATCAATACATAAAGACTGGCGATCAGTCAGGCTGCCCGCTGCCCTCGCCGTGCCCGGCTACGACTTAACCCACCGTCCTCCTGTCCGTCCGTCCTTCCGTCGGTCCGTTCGTCCGGCTGTCCGTCCGCCACGCCTCTCTTTTAGTTACTTCCTCCCTCTCGCTTCAAACAACCCTCCAGTTGCCGGGCGAGCAGGGCCGCTTTCACAAACTTTCTTTCACCCAACAAGCCGCGGGGTTCCCCGCCCGCGCCCCGCCCGCCCTGACCCAGTTCGGCGTCCTGGGGCCGGCGCCGCGGCTGCGCCCGTGCATTGGGGGGCACCTTGCCGCTCAGGCGGGGGCGAGGCCCGGGCCGGCCCTTGGCCCTCGGGCTGGCCGGCGGCAAGCGCCGCAAGCAGCTATCTCGTTGTCACTCCGAGACAAAGGGCCCCCGCCCGTGCACCCGTTGGGCCCACGCGACACGGAGGCCATGCTAGACAAGCTCCGCGACGAGACCCGTTTACACGCTGGCGAGGGGGCATCCCGCCTCTCGCCTCTCACACGCAACAGTGCCCCCCGGTGCCCTCTCGCCACGCAACAGGGTCGTTGGGCCCACGTCACTAACTCGCGCCTTTGCTTTGTGTTGTTGCAGATAACGGACTCGTACGCCTTCCTGCCGCGCGAGGCCGTCACCCGCTTCCTGCTGGGCTGCACCGAGTGCAACCGGCGGCCACGTTCCCCGACGTCACCCAGCAGGCCGTCGTCCGCCGTCGTCAAGGACACCGACGACGACTCGGCCGACAGCGTCGCGGGGACGTCCTCCGGGTCGGGCTCGGCGGGTCCCGGTCACCGCAGCAGCCCCTCGCCGTCACCATCGCCCTCCCCGTCGCCGTCGTCCTCGTCGCTGCACAGCCCTGGCCTATCCACCATGGCGTCGACGTCGATGGCGACCAGCATAGCATCGAGCCTGGCCACCAGCATGGCATCCAGCATGGCATCCAGCATGGCCACCAGCATCGCATCCAGCATGGCCACCAGTATGGCCACGAGCATGGCCACCAGCATGGCAACCAGCATGGCCTCAAGTTTGGCGCCCAGCCTTGTGACCAGCATGGCCTCAAGACTGCCCGGCGACCACACAGACCTGTACATGCGGTTCGCGGACCTCCCGAGGCCGTACGAGGCCGACATGCACACCGCGGGCCTCCTGCCATACTCGTACCCTGATCCCAGCCGCTCTCGCTACCTGCCCCCGCCGTGCTCGTCACCCTCGCCGTCGCCGTCCTCGCCGTCCCCCGAGTCCCGGTTCACCTACCCGCCGCAGCCGCCGTCCCCCTCCGCGTCGCCCTCACCCCTCGGCCGGCCGGCCGGCTCGACCAGCATCCTCTCGGGGCGGGGCGGGCCGAGCGCGTTCCGGAGTCCAGCAGAGGCGCAGTCCAACGGGCAGCCCTCTGACGACCCGCGGACCACGAGTCCCGCCCTGGCCGAGGCGCTGCTGCTGCCGCTCAGGGAGGACGCCCACAAGAGCGAGCCCTTGTTCAAGCTGCCGACCGCGCCGCACCCCCACTCCCTGTCGCACTCCCCGCACTCCATCTTCCTGCACTCGTCGGCGACGGGCCGCAAGACGGACGTGTCCCTTACTCCGCTCAGCGAAAAGCTGGCCAACTCGCCCTTCTCTATCGAGAACATCAGTAAGAGCAGCAGGCGGTCGCCTACGCCGCCGGACGGCGAAGGCGGCCTCCTGAGGGACAAGCTCGTTCGCGGCCCCGACCACTTCGCGGTCCCCGAGCCTCCCAAGCCCCGCAGCCCGCCCAAGGCGTCGACCAGCAAGGCCGACGACACATTCCTGGTGCCAAGGCCCCCCAAGCCACGACACTCGTCCCACCTTCTCAAGCCGCCGCCCCGTGCACCATCGCCGGCCGGCGCCTCGGGCTTTGGCGCCTCGTACCCGATGCTGCAGCCGCTCGAGACCGTGGCGCCGCGCGCCCCCGACCCTCCCCCCGCGCCCGTGTGCGTGCCCGTGCCCGTCCGCCCCCTGCCGCTTCCAGCCAGGCCGACCTCCTCCATCATGGCGGGCTTCGAGCCGGCGGCGGGCAGCGGGCTGCTCAACCTACTTCTCAAGAGCGGCGTGCTCAGGAACCGCGGCCCGAGGACCGTCATCCCAGACGCCGGCGAGATTGACCTCAACCTGCCCATCACCACGACTTACCTCAAGCACATGCGCAGCCTGGGCTACACCGACGAGGACGCGCTGCAGATTGATGTGGAGATGAGCCTGTACCAGCACGTGCTCGGCGTGCCGCTCAAGATCGTCGACGACTACCTCTGAGAGGCCGGGGTCCTTCCCTGTATGAACCAGAAACATATTAGAGTACCGTTGATCAAGTGAGTTCCCTCTGGAAGAGAACGACTGTATCTGTTGGTTTTCAAATACTGGTTATATTTAATTGTGATGCTTATTTGTGATCATTAGCTTTTGATTAGTTGTTTATGCTATGTTAGGCATGTTTGCTTCGGCGCGATTGTGATTTATTCTAGCTGAACGTTCAAAAGAATACAAATTGTTGCTAGTCAGGAAACGTATGTCGGTGTGACATCATGTATCGATCTCTCAACCGTAGGGAATACAATTACACATTGATATAATTTGTTGCGCACTTTTTAATTTTTCCATTTTATATATTGTACATAATGTACTATCACATCATATTGCTTGTTAGCATTAAAATAAAGAAAACGTAGAAGCTAAATTGTAAAATGATGTGGTGTATAGAAATTATGATCGCATTACATACAACATATTATTCCTGTCTTAAATGACATATCAGTTAAGAAGAGGGCCGGTTACACAAATTGAATTACAGGTTTGACTTTCTGACACGTACAAAGTTGGTCGAGCCCAAAATGATAAGATACCAAAGAAAATTAATTGTAACGACAAATACCATTGTTAATTAAAGAACTAAGTAAGACGTTATGAATATTAAGAATATTATATAGTAAACAATCTTATAAAAGATACATCTATTTTTGTTTTATTTAATAAAAAAATATTGGGTTATAACAAAAACTACAGTTTACTTTAAAATTGTCTCTTCCTGTTCCCGTCACCACCACCGGTTCCTGCGGCGAGACAAAGGGCAAACCCGGGGCGGCAGTTTGTGTCTCCACGACCCGGCATCTGGCGACCACAGCCGAGCAGCAGTGTCAAACTGCGGGCCATACGGCCCTTAAAGGGACCGGGAGAGGGAGGCCAGCCGGGCAGTCTAAAAGGCGCTGCCGGAGACGACCACACCACCCCTTCCCCCTGCCCCCTGCCCCTCACGCCCCTCGCCCTCGTCCCCAGCACCGAATCCATTGCTGTTAATTGGACAGGGGCCGAACTAGCCAAGGGCCGCCCTTCGGTGACCCTCCGGCGGCACCGGCCAGCTCTGTATCAACAGAGAGGAGAGGGGAGGGCGAGAGTGGGCAGAGGAGGATGACTCCAGACTCGGAAAGACAAGACGCATGAAGAAAAAAAAAAAACAGGATCGCCAAGATCGTTAGCCGCAGCACAGGGGGCAAAAAATATTCTCCACGCCGACGTAAGAAATCCTTGATAGTAGGTACTTTGTGCCGAATTAGGAGCAGGCGCCGCGCCCCTGCCACTCCAGTGGATAGGCAACCCAACGGACACACTCGCCGGGCCGGGCGGGCAAAGCGAGCGCCCGGGGGGTAGGCAGCCCATCCGACACCACCACCTCGTTCGGCCTGCGGGTGCGGACAGGACACCCCTCCCTGTCTCTGCGAATCTCTCTCTCTCTCTCGCTCCTCTTTACCGCATCCTCCCATTCACTCGAGGACGAGTCAGAGGGCGCGCTGATGTGCCGGGGCAGAGGGGCGCCTGGCGGGCGCCTCGTGGCCGCCTCGAGGCCCTCCGGGGCACGGCCGGCACGCACGCCCACCGCCACGGCCACGAGGTGGAGCAGAGCAGCTCCGTTGTATAGAAACGGGGGGTTGGATATCGGGTCGAACACGGTAAGGGGCAGCGGAGCGGTTAGAGTTAGGGGCGGCCGGGGCCGGGGCCGGGGCCAGGGCACTCCACAAAGAGGGCGGGGTCGGGCGAGGCGGAGGGAGGGGCGCCCATCGCCGATGGCAGGAAGCAGGTAGGGCAGTGGAAAGCTTCCCAAGAGCCCTTTCTTGTCATAAAATCTGGAAATGACAATTTAAGCGACACGTGTGGTGGGAGAAATGCCACAGCAAGAGGCAAAGTATACGTTCTCATCAGTGACACTAAGTTGGACCGAAAAGTTGTAAACAGGTCAGTCGACTGACAAAGTATACAACGTATGGAGTGGAAACTATCTCTCAGAAACTGACGACCGTTGTGAAACAGGTATACCTCCAGGAGCCATGCAAGCACCTGCTTTCCGCTGTCGCCAGGTGGAAGCCCCCCGTGTGGAGATACTGGTCCACGGTGACGACGCGTAGGGCACGGTGTGGCGCGTGGTCGGGGGAGGAGGGGTGGTCCTTTGGGGGCCCTTCCTACAAGAGGAGGGCCGTTGTGCGGCCGAACCAAAACGCCCTCGGGGCACCTCGCCAGGCGAGCGAGGCAGGGGGGGCAGGCAGGGCAAGGTTCTGCTGCTGCTGAGCCTGTCAGTCGTGTCCCCCTCCCTCCTGCTACCCTCCACGCCGACCGCTTGTTACTCAAGCCGAGTCGTTGCCAGAGTTAGTTTGATCGTATTTCCGTAGTTTGCTTAGCAGGTGGCCGGCCGGGCACATTGTTGGGCGCGGCGCCCCTACGGACCCTGCGGACCCTCCTGCGGACCTCTGCCTGCGGACGGCCGCCGCCCTCCTGGCGCTGGCGGCGGCGCGGCAGCCAGGAGTTGAGTCGCTCCTCGGGGAGCCCCCCGCGAATCCCTTACTGCCCATAAAGAAGTCCACCGGGCCGGCCAGGACGCGGACCTCCCCCTCCCCTCCCTTCCCCTTTCTCTCCCGCGCCGCGGCAGCGATATTGGCGCCATTAAAAAGTGGCAACGCGCCGGGATGGGCGGGGTGGCGCGGGGCGGCGGGAAGCTCGACAGGGTACTGTAAGAGCGGGCGCGGGGTGCTACACGCCAGGTCCAAGATGCCCCGCCTCGGGCTGCCTCGGGGCGGGAAGGGTCGCTGCGAGGGGAAACACACTCACACACGCGCTCCCGTGCTCTCTCTCCTCTCACACACGTCCGTCCGTTTCCAAGCCACCCCCGCAACCCCTGGCCCTCGCGCGGGCTCTGGCGCGGGCGGGGGCTAACCGTCGTTGGAGGCCACACATTTCGCTCAGCTCCCCAACACTCCCTTCCTCCTCCCCGCTTCATATCATTTCGCTCCCCTCGCCGTCCTCCCCTCTCCTCGTCCCACACACCCCCTCACACACGCCGCAGTGCCGGAGCGGGGAGCGCGGCGGTCCCGTCTTCCAAGGAAACCTCGACACATCCTATCTAGGGGGGCACGTCGCCAGCCCAACCCCTCCGCCTCGGCCGCCTCCCCTCCTCGCCCTCCTGCTCCTCTACCCCTTCATTGTCAACTCCCTCTCGTCCGTCCAGCCCGGCGACGCGCCCGCCCCCGCCAGCTCCCTCTCCCCTCCCTAACCGCGCTATTGTTTTCCGGAGGCGCTGCCCACCCTTCCCACCTCCACCCCGGCAGAGGCCACCTCCGCCGCGACCTCCACCCCCGCCGCTCCCCACGCTACGTCTTTTCTTTTCCCAGCAGCAGCAGCAGCAGCAGCATTGCTCCGCGCTGCCCAGCCCAAGACGGCGGCGACGACGACGACGACCACGACGCAGACAAAGACATAAATAATTCGCCCAACAACTTTGCAATGTCCAGTAGTTTTTGCTGCTGTTGTTGTTGGACTTGGGCATCATTGGCTTTGGATGAGGGGGCGGAGAGAGGGAGTGGGGGAGAGGGGAGTCGTGAAGCTGGAGGGCGATCCCCGGGTAGGTGGACGCGACAGTCCTGACCACGACGGGAGGTGGCGGTGGCAAAGCAGAGGCCGCGGGCTTGGGCTTGCGATTAAATGATGTGGGCAGCTGACCTCCGCGGGGTGGTGGTGTTGGTGGCCGCGACCCGGATCGCGTCCCGGACCCCAACCCCCCGCCCCCGCAGCCGCCGCACCGCACGGAGGACCCTCTGCTCGGCTGCCGTGTCCTTGTGAAGGGAAAGAAAACAATCGGACTCAGTCGTTAATCCACCCACCCCCGCTCGCCTGCCCCGACCCAACCCCGGCCGCTACCCCTCCTTCTCCCTCCTGCCTCTCCTCGGTTCCGTCGTCCGTTCGCTCTTATTTCTGCGCCGTTCCGCCGCCGCCGTCCCTCCGCCCGCCACCCCCGCACCCCGCTCACTGGACAAGGGGGTTGATGTTCATCAGGAATGGGTGCGTGTGTGTGTGTGTGTGTGGGAGTGCGAGGAGGGCCAGCAGCAACAGCAGCAGCGTCCCCTCCTCCTCCGCGCTCTCACAGACACTCCTCACAAGAAGCACCCAACGCGCGCAGCGCGCGAACGCGAACGTTGTTTTCTTGCCGTTCAAACAAAACCCGTTTTGGCCGCGGTAAGAAATGGTAATTAAATATAAGCAGCGCTAGCGCAAAAGCGGCAGCGGCAGAGCACGCCACCAACAATGATGAGGATCACTTAAATAAAATTCCGCCAAAGTCGAAGCAGAACTGCTCAGTCCGCCGCTGTCCGACAATACGGCGCAGGAGCGTGGGCTGGGCCGTGCCGGTCAGAGAGGTCTGCCCAGAGAGGGTCGCCCGGCCCGCCTCCTGGATTCCAGAGCCTCTCCAGGCGGCACGGAGGGCGTTTTTATTAAACGAGGCGCCGCCGGTCTCCTCCTGGAATAAGCAATATGACTCCCGGGAATGCGCGACGTAGGCCAACCAAACCAAATCGCGGTCCGCCGCACCGCACCCTCCGAGGGCTGCCCGTGCCGTGCCAGTCGTCGCCGGCGTCTCGGGCTCTTGTCGGGGGGCTGCTGAGACTGCGGGGGGTCGGCACGGCGGAGATCTGCGCCTATCGGAGCAGTCTGAGCCACGGAGACCGGCACAGAGACGAAATCCATTAAAACGGTATTAACACTTGGAGTGCGGGGCGCGGCATTTTTGGTTCCTCTGATGTAACAGGGAGGGTGAATATTCGTGGTAATATGTTACGTAATGAACTTGGAAAAATATTTACAGAATTTCGCGGGATTTCCTAAAATTTTGCGCTTGCACAACGTTACAGTAGCCAACTTACATCTCTCTAGAACGAAAATGATTTTCAGGCGGTTAGAGTGAGACCAAGAGGTGGTTTGACTCGACCACATGCCGA